AAAAACAAAAAAAAAGAATAAAGTCATTGGCATAAAACCGACAACCAAGTTGTGGTCCCAGTGTTGGGAAATCCAAAATCCAATCAAAATATCAGCTGGCAGCAGTTGAACAAGGCTGAGAACAATGTTGGCATTTGTTTTAAAATAAAAGGCGTACCACATTATAATTATATGCCAATGCCATACATGTATAGATGAGATTAGATTGCTATGTATGAGTTGGGTTTGGTTCTGTTAATTCTCTTGCAAGTTGTAGCTGCTGCAGACAGATAGACAGATCTCCCGACGCTTAGTTTTCTTGAGGTTCGATGGAATCGCATACATACATTTATTTGCTGTCCACAGATTTTATCCAATAATCTACATTTTGCTGCACTTTTTCCAGCTTTCTTGGGGCTGCTTTTTTATTTTAACCCTGCCCAACTCTCTCTCTCTCATATGCATGGGCCAGGCAGCTTAGCTAGCTGCCAAACCCACCCATCTCACTGGTCATGTGCCTTTTACACCACCCCCTCATGTGACTCGGACTCTCAGGGTCAGGGCAGAAAAGCTGGATTAACATGTACTTTCTTTCTTGTTCTAACAGATCTACAGGAAAAAGAAAAAGAAAAACATAAATACTTTTAATTAAAACATTAATTACGTCATTACTTAGTCGGGTAATAGGGTTTAGCGTTCGGTTTAAGTGTGTTAAAATTCAAGTCAAAATATTTTCTTTGTAATTATGAGGGGTTTATAGTTTTGTTTCAATTGATCATCAATAAATATATTACTTAGTTCATAACTTACGATTAGAAATATCACCAAACTTGGTTCATAACATATGTCAACTTTTTTTTTTCTTTTCTTGTTTATTTCATTTATTATTAATTGCATAAAAATTTGGTGGGATTATAAAGTAGTTGACATAGCATCCAGCCAAACGTCATCATCATTCAATAAAATCAACACTAATTAAGGTGAAAAACATGCCTTGATAATCCCTCATTCAGCAGATTAGTCACACAACCAAAAATAAATAAAAAATGCTGTCACCCTAGATTATTCAATAAACATCAATTAGCATTGTTTTAAAGTACGGATTAAGAATTTCAGCTGCTTAGGATTCCACATAATTCTATGTGTATCTATGAGATCAAGTATGAAATTATGTTTACTCATTTTAAATTGAGTATCCGTTTCCCTCATTTTTTTGCTATGATTGGAAATCCTGTATTTTACATATCCATATCGTTTTGTTTATCCACTCTATCTCCATGCCACTTGAATTGGAGTTCATGACCATCAATAAATAAATATATATATATATTTTCAAATAGATAAATTTGTCTTTTGCAATTGGGGCTATATCCACACAACTACACAAGGCAAAGTACAAAATTATACACAAGGAAGGACCATATTCATTGCCGCTAGCTAGAAGGTAAAGCTTCTTGCATTGCATGACCTCTCCAATGTTTTCTTATTTTGAACCTATTTGTTGTCCAAACTAATTTTTATGGTTTGAAGGGTTTTCGAACCTTCTTGCTCACAAACTTATCACGTTTGCTAGCTTTATCCTCAATCAACCATCATCACCCTTTTTTTTAAAAAAAAAAGTCAAAATTAAATATACAAAAAATAAATAAATTATTGGACCATGGCCCCACCGGATTTCATTGCCATAACCCTGGGAGGATAAGGGGCAAAAGGAGACAAGGGAGGGGAAAGGTAGATTGCAGGGAAGGAGGCCGGCCGGATGAGGAAGGGTAGGGGTCGGGGGTGTTAGGGGATGGGAGGAGGGCAACTTTTGCGAGGAAAGGATGGGAGCAACATTTGATATGTTGCATTCTAATGTCAGTTGTCTTTCTTTATCACAACAAATTGCTCCTTCCATCAACATAGTTTATCACCACTTGTCACAATGTGAAAAACAAAATGACATTACTTAATTTACAAATTTATAAATAAACCCAATTCTAGACATGTATTTATAAAAAAACCCAAGCACTATTTAAACATAGAAACACACCCAAAATCAACCCCAAAGTCAACTTTTTGGGTGTGTTTATAAATGGGTTTTGAGTGTGTGTAATGATGGGTTTTGGGTGTGTTTATAAAGTGTTTTGGGTGTTGGGTTTTTTTATAATTTCAACCTCCATTTTGGGTGTTTTAGTGAAACACTTAATTCATCCACTAAGACTTTCCAAAACACTTTTAAAAGCTCACCTTTTTTATTTATTTTTATTTTAATGTAGTAAATTTTGGATGGATGATGTCATTTACTATGGAGACACATCGACTAATATGCCGAAATTTACCATCTACTCTTCCTATATCTATATTCTCATATAATAGATTGCATGAGACGAGACACAAAAATAAGAAAATAGTGCAACATTCGGGACATGAAATGTTTTTTTTTTTTTGTGGGTAAAAAAAAAGGGAGTTTCACTAAAACACCCAAAATGAGGACTGAAATTATAAAAAAAAACCCAACATCCAAAACACTTTGTAAACACACCCAAAACCTATCATTACACACACTCAAAACTCATTTATAAACACACAAAAAAAATATATAATTGTTGATTTTGAGTGTGTTTCTATGTTTAAATAGTGTTTAGATTTTTTATAAATATATGTCTAGGATTGAATTTATTTATAAATTTGTAAAAAAAAAAAAGTATAGTTAACATTTTGAGAAATGAGTTTGGAGCCATTGCTTTATAAACTCTTTAAAAAGGAAGAAAAAAGCTGCAATCTTTGAAGCAACCAAACTCTCTTCACCTAGTGTGCGTAACTACTAACTACCACTTTCTAAACAAAGAGCGAGGAAATAGAAGCCCCTGTTTCTCTCTTCGAGTTAGTGACAGCCACTCCCTCATCGCCACGTGTA